ATTCCTAAAAGGATTCTTTTAGCACAATTTTTTCCGTCTCTTTTAGACTTGCAGATACACTTGAACGATATGAACACAAATTATTCCCTTTTTGATTTTTTGTATGGAAAATGTTTAACGCGAAGCAAAAATTTGAATATTCCTCAGCAAATATAGAAGAGAACACTACATATGATATCGCTCTCATCGATCTCTGAATACTGAACATTTCATTTTCTTTGTCCCATCACACCATTTTGTGATCATAGTTTCATTGGAAATATATAATGTGGAGTCACGGCCTTAAAACTATTGACTTCAAATTCCCAAAACAAGGATAACTTTATAGACAGAGATGACCGCTCCACATAAGTAAAATCTTGTCTAAAGTTAGTGTATATTCATGGACAGATTAGATTACCCTACAATTTTGGACCCCTGGAAATGAGTATGTTCCCATACGGCACATTCTGTTCGACTCGTATGTAGTCTCGTGTCGCAAGAACTGTTAAAACGAGATGATAAGTAACCAACATTACTCGGATAAAGAACTTGATTTTAGGAATGGAAAAAAAGTTCATGAAATGAATGATAATACCGCAAGTCTGGTAGAAAAGACAAGCTGCCTTCTTTTTGTTCATCCCATAAGCTAATTGGTTTAAGGACTCCACTTTGTCGGATCCCGGTGTGTCGAAATGAGTCTTCAAGTGCCTGTAGTTCATCAAACCAGCTCCAACATTGTAAGAAATTAAATGCTTTAGATCACATTTACTCGAAATTGGGGAAACAAGATTAATTTATTACATTCTGATGGAATCGGTTATCTGGTCAAGTGGCTGATTAGTGATTGGAGGCTTCTGTGTTTGTGTTGGTCCAGTTTCGACCAGTAGATCTTAAAGATAAACAATATGGCTTGAGTTATACATCAGAAACTCAAAAAAATCACAACGATCAAACAAAAAAATGGGTTTTTTTTGAGGTGAGTTACCGTGATTATGTGTGAATTCCTTTTCAGATAGTTTAGCTAACTTAAAATTTGGATCTGAATGCTGCCATGGAAGATCCTCTGCGACCGGTTCAAGTCCATTTCCACTGTTCTTGGAAGCAGAAAATGGTCTTTTCTTGCTAGAACTGAACCATGTGAATGTATACATAATCAAGAACTTAAACAATTTGGCGTAGAATCTGAATTTTAGAATTTTCTTCTTGTATTAATGCCTTTAAACAATATTGATGATCTCTTTTTCTGACTTACCGTCCAGAATTGACTTCTGAATTGTGCGGGAGGAACCCATGCCCAGACCCCGAGCTGGGAATTGACCTTATTTCATCACCTATAACATCACACATGCAATGCATTTTGATCTTCAAGAAGTACAGAATGATCCACAGAAAAAAATTAAGTTCATATTTGGCATGAACACTAGCAGTCTAACCTACCAGAATTTGCAGGGGTGGCCATCAAATTGACTTTGGATCCACTCATCCCATTGGCCTCGTTTGCTTCAAACCCGTTAACTTTAAGGTTGTTACGGAGTTCTTCGATAAAAACCTCTGGAGGGATCATCTCATTAATATTTCCAGTTGCTCTTTGCTTCTCGATGGAAATTCTAGTCGATAGGGAGTCGACTCTGCTGGTAAAATCTTCAAAGGGCTTCACCATTCAAAGTTTTAAATTAGACAAGAAGATTATTTTTTCCTTTTCAAAAGTTTGAGAGAGAGAGGGAGGAGATGGTGGTGGTCACTTACATCTCCCATTTTCTCCATAAAGTGCATTCTCTCTGGTGGAGATGACGACGATGGTTCCGGTGGCTGAGGATGAGAGGTTCGACCTTCATACAAAAAATTATCTTTTTAACTTTTTTTTTATTGTTAACTTTTTAAATGTATTTGTTTGGAATGAATGTTGTTCGTGCAGACTGAAAAATAATCTGACCAGATGGTGAGTCATGTGGTGGTTGGGTGCATCTCATCCACATTTCCAATAGTGGTATTGGATAATGAATATGTCGATTCCTGTTCGTAACTAATTTCTCGACCAGTACAATAGAAGGCAGGTCCATGAGAGTGGATATCTTCATCATAGACAAGGAATCCATTGGTTCCTGCAAAATTGGCTCGCATGAAATCTGCGGCACATTACTTGAGCTAAATCAATTTTTTATTTAAAAAAAGAACGGTTTGGCTCGTGAGCACTGTTTCATATGAAACGTGTTGCTTAGATTTGGGATTCAAACAGAAAGAAACTACTAGCATATAAAGAAATCATGATGTATCACCTTCCTTTTCTGTCCTCTTCTTGTCACGATGTCAGCAGAATTCTGAAGCCAAGTTTGATATATCTGACCAGGAATGATGGTTTGGTCATAGTCCATTACATGAGCTGTAGCTGGTCTTTTGCCCCTCCTTCGAGCAACCTTTTGCCTGATCTTATCCTGCTAGTGCAAAAAATATGGCATAAATTCTACGGAGTTGACACGTTATGCTGATGCACCAATTCTTGGCATGCATATTATTAGAGTACCGGTTTAGTTTCCTTGCTTTCTTGAGACTGCTGCATGACTCGTTCCTCTGGATGCTGTTCCTGTATCACCTCACCTACAAGAATTAACAACCTCACATTCAGGTGAATCATTCAGAAAGGGCTGAACTTATTTATCATATACACATCCAAGAGAAAATCATAACATCTTTTTCAAAAACAAAAGCAAATTAACAATGGAAGGATAATAATGAAACAACTAGCAGAAAGTAACTGTGCCGAATCCCTAGAAATATGTATACTTGAAAATGATATAAATTTGGAATCTAATTCATTGGTAACTCTGAAAGTCATCAGAATTATCTCATTTCAGTTTTTCTTTATACCTATAAATATGTCGAACAGTTGATTCTGTGTTTACGTAGTGCGGCCTAACCGTTCATAGTAGGCTCCTGCTTGCAATACTATCTACTGGCTGCATTCTATTTTGCTTTCCAGCAATTGATTAGAGGTGCAAGCTCTCTTTTTATTTAATTATCTTTGTTTGCTAGAATAACCACAAGCCACTTTAGGCATTCTCAAAGTAACTTTCACAATAGAGTTAACTGATTTTCAGGTACCCCTGTAGTGAATGAAAATATGGCAAACTAAACTGGAAATGCCATACATATTAACCAACTATTCACATTAACCAGCCTCAAGAAATACTCAATGATTCCTTACGTTCATGGATCATCTCTTCACGAGGTGGTGAGGGTATGACACTAGGTATTTCGGTGTGCTCGGGCTGAATGAAAGTTGGTTGTGCCTCATCGCTCCCTTCTATATCAAACCTGTCAAGAGAAAAGAGATTTATGCAGGATAAGTGGTAATATATGGAATGCTAGTCATTGTACTTCTATATCCATGAACTAATGCCAATGGGGAATTTCTTGGCATAATCTGGATTTCACCTTTCAAAGCGATTGAATGTAGTGGTATCTGCCTGGTACGAATCATATTTATCGAGTAAGGTAATATTAGCAGCATCAGCTGTAACATTAAGTAGAGAAAGAGGATGTCAGCTGACGTGTGTCAACTAAAGAAAACAAGCGGGTAGAAAATTTGCAATAAAAAATGATATCCGCTTGCAAGGGACCTATGGATACCTTGATGGTGTTCCTGGTTCAGGTCAGCCTGAGGATTTTGGTTTAAATAAGGATCATCCATATTGTCCAGTCTCTGAAAATAAGTCAATTATGTATTAGCACCAGGGGCAGTTCAATTTACCATTACTCTTCCTACTAGCAATCAGTGTCAATGAAGACAACAGAAACCAGACGCTTAGTACTTGCAGATTTTCCATCATTTCTGATTAACAGAAGCTAATGATCCCCTTCAAAATTTGCAACTACAGGGTCCACTTTGTAAAAGGAAAACAGAGTAGGCATTTCTAGCAATTGAAAAAGGCACAGTACATCTCACAGTTCATCTTGTTACTAATAATCACATTATAAACCACCACATGTACAGCTTCATGTATACAGGTTTGTGCATTTCTTAAGCTAGATCAGACGGGAATATGCTACTTTAATACCATGGCAATATAGGAGGTCTGTTGAAAATCCACAACGGTTGTTGCATTAGAATACGGAAGTGAACGCTCAATTTCCTCCAAGTCATCCCTAGTATTCGGTGGCAATGTAACAGCTTCATATCTACAGAATCCAAATCACAGGAAGGAAACTATATCAACAAGTAATTTTTATGGGGGGATTACTATTTTTGAAATCTACAACTGCAGTACTTAAAATGTTCTACAGTGTGATATGGTTTCTCTAACAGCTTTTTTGCGAACATTATCCAAACTCAACTTTTAAGCTGTACTGTTACATATATTACAATTAATCACTGCTTGAAATTTGTAACAAGAGCCAACATCAAATCTCCAGCAAAAGCAAAATCTCATGGTTCATTGAGAACAATATTAAAGGCAAAAACAGGAAAAAAATATAAATAAGAAAAACTCTGGACAGCAAACTCACTTGGCTTGAGATTTGGCCTTGGGAAGTCTAGTTGGATCGGACGGAGCAGCTTTAACTTTCCAAGCTTCGTTTATTTCCACCTGAAAACATACAAACAATTTCAAATCTACAGAGAAATATATATTAGTTGAGTCATAGAGAGATTTTGAATTGATTCTCTCAACCGGAAGTAACCGTATTACCAGCAGGCGTGTGACATCATCTGCAAAACCGAAATCTAAAGTCAACAAAGGAGAGATTGCAAAGAAACGGGTGACTATACGTGATCAAATTACCAGGAATGAAGTAAAGAAAGCCTACCATACAAAAGTTTTACTTTCCTTTCATAAACAATGACAACTCCACCTGGAATAACATATAATGAAACAGTGAACTTCAGACTCCATGAATAAAAGGTCAAATAACAGTAACCGAGTTCCAATAGCAATACCCATGAGAATTCCAGAAAGTCTGAGGGCCATAGGAACTGAAGGATTCAAAATTTCTTCGCTGCAACAGAACTCAGGTGTAAAATGAGCGAAGCATAAACTCGAACAGCGAGATCTGTTTTCAGTGACTTTTTTGTTGAGAAAAACTTACCAGATTTTGATAATGTTAAGCTTATTCAGCTTACTTCGGTGGATTTTAGCATGCATAGTCGCTGCCATCCTTCAAACGCACCCATACACACACAGAACCAGAATCTCACTTCATGATCTTGAACTTAATGTACAAAATCAGCTCATAACACAGTAGAAAACAGAAATAATAAATTCTTTCACCGAAAACCAAACTCATATCCACATCGCTGACTATTAAACCAGAGGTAATTCTCTACTAAATCAAATTCCCAAACATCAAAATGCCCCGATTTACCATACACGAAAAACAGAGTAAGCAAGCAGTAGCTAAGATCAAATCAGAAGCCACACATTCATTAAATTCAAAATCTACCTCAAAACACGCACAATACAAGCAGTACAACGTTCATCAAACTCCAAAAAACGAAAAAAAAAAAACAACGGATTAAAATCAAAACGGAGCACAACTCATATTTCGCACGTTCATGCTTCAGAGAGGCCCAAACAACTCATCGCGATGACCGAAATCATGATTTTACGAACGCGAGACGATTTAAATGTTACAATCTACATGTAGTATGTATCCTCAGCTGGCAAACGGAATAAAGGGGGCGAAAATTGAAGCAAGGACGTCGAATTTCTACCATATTTGGCCGAGGGGAGCTTTGCGAGCTAGCAGCTGATGAGAGTAGAACATTTTGATCCGCTTGCTGGTGAAGCCTCAGAGCTAACAGTAAAAATCAACTGCGAATCTTCGTGAACATGTATATATATATATAGGGAGAGAGAGAGAGAGAGAGTGTGTGTGTGTGAGAGAGAGAGTATGTGCAGAGCGTTTTCAGTGCGTAACAAACCGAGTGCGCGCGAAGCAGAGAGAAAAAATTGCACATGGGGGCCAAATGGCAATGCGGAAAGAATGTTCACTGTATGCTACAATTACCAATGGGTGCACCAATTTTTCGTGCTACTCTTGAAACAATGACATTTTGGGAGAACTTATCTATGCTTTGAGGATTAATTTTCACTCCATTTTATCATATTTATTATTAGTCCATGACTATTATCATCGTTAAATTACATTTTTTTTTTACCCAAATAATCATATGGAATGGAGTTATTATTATATGCAAATTTGACATTTCATTATTGAACTAAGTCAATTTATAGTTTTTACCAAAATACTAACAATATATGGCATGGTATTATGGTATCAATTTATGTTGGCAATTCTACTTTACATCATATACTACATACTCTTTTAGCTTTTGGGTGTTAGTAGGTTGGTGTAAAATTAGAGAAATAAAATTTATTTAAAGGTTTGACCCCTCTCTATCGTTTCGAAAAAAAAAAAAAAGTTTGACCCGTCAAATATGCTAATTAGCTTATTTTACAAAGAGCTTATTTGATTACCAAACTCACTATAGAAGCATTTTGAGAAGATCCTTAAAATAATATGCCAAAGTTTCAAAATAGTTATAACCATTGTTTACCAACTTGTTATTTTATAAACCGCTAATACATATGACAGTCAAATCAGTTAAGATTTTGAAATATTGGTCAATTTGATTTACTTTTATTTTTAAAATTTTAAAAGTCATTATGTATGGATGGCAAAGGGCTAGACTGTTTTGGATCAAGATCTTGTCCGCCTTCTCGAGCTAGTTTGTGACCTGCAGCGGGTCTACTAGGGCACGGTTCCTTGACATGGGTCGTCTCGGTCAAGCCACCCCACCTCGCCCCATTATCATTTATTTATTTATTTATTATGAATTCACTAAATATATTTGAAAAATGTTACTTATTAGATATAATATATAGAAATATCCACATGTAATATATAAAATAAAATAAGTCCAAGAATTTAGAATTAAACAAATGGACCAATATTCGATATGGGGCCATTCATAGCATTATTATACCTTCCCTATTCATTGTGGTTTGTTTATTTGTCAGTACCGATTAAGCTTTGGATGTATTTGGAAGTAGGAGATAGATTGTGGTCCGGTAAGGTGAGATCATTTATACTCTGTTGATGTTTGTGTTCTTGCAGTACCTTCGAGCCTACTCTCCGGCATAAATAACTTTAGACGGAAAAAAACAAAGTCGAAGTGGAAAAATTGGTTTGGTGAGATAATTTTTCTTAGGCGGATTCGCTTCGTTCATACCGATAGTTGGTCCTTCCTTCTTTACCCACAAACTTTTCTACTCTTCGGACCTTCGGTAGTGAATCACCTACTCAAATAAGAAAAAAGGCAGACCTGCACGCCTTATTTGAGACTACTAAGTCTACCTCCGAACCTCTATGACTTCACTTTGCTTCTAAAGATGCAAATACCGAAACTCCAACGCATCGCTTCATCCGCAACATACATTCTTCCTTCTTATCAGGTGTAGGAGAACACTACTTGACTGGTAAGAAAGAGCTTCCGTGAGAACTGGAAGACTGAAGTATGTACGGTAACCGTCTCTTCCGCTAGTGTTGCCCCAACCCGGTACGGTATTCTATTTATTCCACTACAAGAAAATGATGAAATTTCAACGGAAATATATTTCAAAAGAATTATTCCAACGGCAATTCCAACGGATATTTCAAAACTATTATTTCCGTTGGAATTTTTCAATAGATTCCAACAGAAATTCCAACGAAAATATTCCGCTGGAATGAGTTTTCCATTGGAATTTCCGTTGGATTTTGACGATTCCAACGGCGGATTTTCCAACGGGGGTGGAAAAAAAAAATTCCAACGGAATTTACATATTCCAACGGAAATTCCTACGATAAAAAACCGTTGGAAATATAGCCGTTGGAATCATCAAATTCAATCTAAAATTCCAATGAAAAACACATTCCAACGGAATATTTCCGTTGGAATTTCTGTTGGAATTATTCCAACGGAAACTATTCCATTGGAATATCCGTTGGAATTTCTATTGGAATATATTACCATAGAATTTTCCGTTGGAATATAACATTTATTTTGTAGTGTTCTCAACACGTAGCGCTCAAAGATACCTGGGTGGACCACTTGAACGCTCACCAACTTGATCTTCTGCGGAACCGTATATCCGCCTGGAACAGAAAGTCAACCTAACTGCTTACCTTTGCCACTCAAGTGGACGACATCTGTCGTGCTTAGGTACGCTTCGCCACAAATGTTGCAGATGAAGCAGGGCAGGGTTGGACGGGATCAGATCAAATTGCCTCCCTTACTTTAAGGTATTCAATTTTAAAAAACTTTTAGAATATCATACGTGATGTAGGGAAGCGTACGAGTGGGACGATATTAATGAGATCTCAATCTCAAGAACATCAAAGCACGATAAAATTCATATTTTATTCATAAACAACCATCTCATAACAAAGTAGAAGAGCCCTTTAAATAAGGCTCCTAACCCTAGAGCTTAACTTGTCCAACAAGACAAGATCTCTTATTAATATTAAACAATAATATTAAATCCTAGCTTATTCTCTAAGACACCTATTAGATATAATAATAATAATAATAATAATAATAATAATAATAATAATAATAATAATAATAATAATAATAATAATAATAATAATAATAATCTACACCAATACGGCTAACGTTGAAAATTTGCTAGGATTTTTTTAGACCTTCTTGATATTTCAAACAAAACTTGTATATAACAAATCCCATCTCCAAATTCCACATGTAGACTTAAGACTTTGGATTTTTTTAGACCTTCTTGATATTTCAAACAAAACTTGTATATAACAAATCCCATCTCCAAATTCCACATGTAGACTTAAGACTTTAAATAATAAAAAATAAAAAAAAATAAAAAAAACCTATAATGTCGGACGTAAAAAAAATTAATGTCTCTGAAAATCTCAAAAGGAAACATTCTCCTAAATAAATTGTTTTTGTGGGATAAAGATATTAATTTTTAAGCAATTTTTTTATGTGCTAGAAGCATGTATATCACTCAGGGAAAACAATGGTTAGTACGGGCCGCCCGGCCTGGTCAGACTCGTGGTCAACGAGTTAGGCCCTGGTCAGACTCGTGGTCAACGGGTTTAGGCCGGCCTGAAGTTAACCAGGCCAAATCAGGGTCATGCATTTGTACCATAAGACACGGCGGTCCGGGCTGGATCCGAAAAATCGATGACGTAGTCTTGTTTTCAACTTTTGTAGGCAAGGTTCCTGATCCGGGTTGAGCCTAGCCTCGCTCGGCGGGTCGTGTATACAGCCCGGGCCTAGGTAAGGGCCGGTTCAAGGCCGCTATTATCCATCCCGAAGGCCCGCCGGGCCCAGCTTGGGATTTGGCCATCTATCAGTTACGTAACCAAACTCATATGAGGATTACCTAATTGAACCTAATACCAAATTCTAAAACTAAAATCGAGCCGCAAACCAAATATTTCAATAATAACAAATTCTAAAACTAAAATCGAGCCGCTTTGTAGTTTGAGCAACAAAATGACATTGCTAATTTGCTGAAGCTCGTCAACAACAAAATTGGATCGATACTGCCGTTTCCGGGGATCTTTGCTGGAGGAATCAATCCTCTGTTCTGGTAGCCGGCAGGGCTTCTGATTTACCCTCGTACGAGATCGAATTAACCCTATTTGTTTGATTATTATAACTCGCATACTGAAGATGAAAGCTTTGCACGATGCCTTCGATACGAATCTTTGAAACATTTGCAATATAAGAAAATGCAATTTACAGCTCAAAGGATTATTGGGTTGTTAATATATACTTCACTATTTGATTGGCCTTTGTTGGATCTTGAACACCGAATTTTTGGCACCAACTTCAATATTTTGAACCAGCAGAAACATTAAGAGAATATCATTAAGGCAACTGATAATTTGTACCCAAAATTCGAGTCATAAATAACCGATTGTAAAATTGAAAAGCATTTTCTAGCAAACAAGAATCCGGTCAGATTTTCGAAAACTAAACAAACCAAAAACCGAAAATTCACTCAGTTATACCACTTCTGGAATTTTCGAGATCAATTTCGCCCATTCCAGTATCTTCTTCCTCTTCGCTGTCCTCATCACCACTAACCTCTCCATTTTCACGTCCAAGTTTGGCCATCTGCTCGGCAAGTAATTTATCCTCCCGTTCACTCACCTAATAAACAGACCCACACAGAAAACATTAGACTGCAGTAATGAATGCTTGTAACAATTTTTGGAAACACAAGTAGCTGAATATGTAAATTTTCATTTTCTTAAAATTATGACATGTAATCCTTACCGCTCTTGGTGCCTCCTTGACAGTCAGTTTGCCTTTGTGTTGTTCAATCACTATCGTGCATAAGTCAATTGCCCTGTTAAGGATTTCGATTCCTTGCTCCTGCATAACAAAATAAATAATGGAGCCAATTGGAAGCAACGGATTTCATCTGTTACACACACAATATGATACTGAAATATTGAGAATTGGAAACAAAATAGGCAACACATATGAAATTATCACTCACAAGCTAAATCATAAAAAAATAATTGAGAATGGTAACTACATTATTCATGCTAAGATTAATGGCATGCATACTAATTAAGAAGTCAACCACACAGAAGATGTGGTCTAATATAGATGAGCAACACTGATTTAATTAAGAATTGCATATTCAATACTCACTACCAAGTATTGCAGTGGTTATTTACTCAAAGTTCAGTCAACATTCGCCAATATACAAACACTGGCGAGAGGAACTGGTACTCTGTTTTTTGAAGCAAGTTTAAACAGATAGGGACAATATAAGTTATATAGCAAACTGAAACAAAGTGCACAAAAGAATCCAGTCCAAGGAAATATATTAGTGTCTCATAATGTTTTCTGAAACTGAGTCCAAATAACTTTGAACCAGTTCGGCAAAGAAAAAGCGTGCTTGTGAGAATGGATATAATTGATACTTGAGCACAAATTTGGAACTGATCATAGTGTAATGTGATCAGAGTAATGATTAATTTGTGAACTAATGATCATATAACGAACTAATACGATGGTTGTCTAGAGTACAAGTTGTTGGTAAGCTGTTAAAGGACGAGTTGTTGGTTAGCAGTTATACAACACTAGACCCATACTACTAAACTATTCTTACGACAAAAGCATTGGCACATGCTTAACACACTCCAAATAATTGTGGTTTATTGCTCGTTTGCCCGTTTTCTTACATTTTGGACAATCCCTAAATCACATGCATAAAACATTTTATATTATTCTGAAACATCTTCGTGGAAGGATGAGTTATAGTGTTCTAACCATGAGATTATAACAAGTAAAATTTCAGGCAAAGGCAATCACAATCCCCCAATCCAAGCCTGCTTGTCAAAGCATTAGAATTACCTTGTCAAGAGTTTGAGTGTTAAGCACATACGCCGGAGGAGCAACCAGCTTAATTTTAACTGGGCAATCCTTGTTGCCTGCAGATTCAGCTTTACGCATTGCTTCCTGCAAAATTCATCTCAAATCAATACTTGTAACCAAGAAGTTTGCCTTGTAGGAGGATACAAAAAATCCTGAAATTAAGGATTAAGATACCTTTATGTGCAGGACACCATCAAACTGAAAACATTTCATTTCAATATCGGCACGAATCTTTAAAGGTTGTGGCGTCATTCTTCTCCTAATATTCTTCACTAAAGCATCTTTTACTTCATCAGTTATAGCCGGAGCCACCTTCTTCACCTACAAATGATAGATAGATAGAATCGTATAAAATAGTCATACCATCACTCTGGGTTTAGTGCTAGGCAACTTGAACATCACTGAAATATGAAAACTACCTCTTCTCCATCAGGACCCACTTCTTTGACTTCACGAGTGAGGGAATCAAGGATTGAATCGGGATCAGTGACGATCAATTTGAACGCCTGGAGTTCCAAATAAAAACACAAAAGAATTAAGACAACCATAATATCAAAGGTGAGGCGATTCATAATAGAAAATTCTACACCAGTAAATAAAATTACCTCAAATGCGT